CCGGCCCTTCCCGTGCCGGTTCACCTCCGTCGCCATCACCGGCACCGTTCCTGCGCCGGTGGGAGGAGGCCGACCTCTCCTGAGCTCCTTAACCGGGGTTAAACGAGCATCCAGCGACCTCGTAATCTCCGCCGGGAACTTTTCATCTCCCTCCTCCGCCGGCCGGAGCGGTGTCGGGGCCGACGGGGGGGCTGTGAAGGCAGCGGCGCCGCGGCGTTTCATCCCGTGCCGGGGATTGGCAGCGCTGGTGGGTTCGGTGGCAGGTTTTTGGTGCGGTGCCGTGGTGCCGGGAATGTTTCCTCTTCTCAAGCAGCTCGATGGCGGGGAGCGGGTCGGAGCTCAGCCGGCACCACTGCCGTACGGCATGAAGGCGAGAGCGGTGCCACCATCTCTCGGAGCAGCTTTCGGCTCATCCCGGCACGGCTCGATGCCGGATTTCCCTCCCTGGCGCGTCGTTTAGAGGAGTTGGCGCACGATTGTCTCCGCTCGACGCCGCAAAATCCCCGCCCTGGCAGCACCGACGACCCTGTAGCTGAATTCCCTGAGGATCCCAGCACCGGCAAAGCCCCGCGTCCCAACAAAACCCCTCGGCACGGGATTTACTGGCTTCTAGCCGCGACCGTCGGAGCAGAAATGGAAGAGCTCCCTGGGGGACGCGTCCTTTGCTGAGGGATTGAGGGGGGAAAAAAAAACCCAAAACGCTTTTCTGCTAAACGAGCTCGTTAACGCCGGGGAGGAATGTCGCCGATCGCTCGAGGTTTCCCCGTGGAAGGAAATTGTCCACGATCCTGGCTTGAGTCCTGGGAGCTTTCCGGATCCTCCCCGAATTCCTCCCGCCTTGAAATCTGGAGTGCTCGCTCCCCTTCGGAGTTTTCTTCGTGGGTGCGATGTGTTTTGCGCGTAAGCGGCGTTGGTGCGAGCGCGCCGGACCCTGCGCGCTTGGTGGTGGCCGGGGATGGAGCGAGGGAAACCGGCGCTGTCCTCCTGTGTCACGGCTCCGCTTTGCCACGCGAGGAAGAAGAAACCACACAGGGGGGGCCGGGGGGGG